GTTTTGACATAGGGATGTTGGCTAGAACATCTTGTGGTTAGGCACTGGCTTCCTGTTCTTTTGCAAGTCCAACTCTGTCTATATGGCTTTTAATATAGAAGTAAAGGGGCCCTGAGAGGTTGTCCAGCCTGACCCAGTAGGTTTCACACTTAATGTCCAAATCTCACTTTACATCCTACTTTATAAGAAAGGGGTTGGACTAGAAGATCTTCAAGGACCCTTCCAACTCCGTTATTCTATTCTAATTCTACTACTACTCTTTAGTATATTGAATCAGTTACACTAAACACAAGTCAGGCTTGTTTAAAATGTATTATCCACAGGATTTTCTCCACATTAAAGTGCTGACTGCCCACCCTTTAGACAGCAATAAACTCAAAAGCATGAAATGAGCTGCTCCTTTTGCTAGTCCTTATCCCGGTGACATTGATTCTGCTCTGACTCACTGCTTATTGACGCTGTCCTGGTTTTTCCATACTTAGTGATTGATAAACAAAATGGTTGGTTTCAATGCATCAGCAACTGATGGTAAAAATATTCACCTGTCATGGCACTGATTGAGGAAGGTCTGAATGCATTACTACAACTTTCTTCTCTAAGCTCTTACCACAATACCTCAAATCTCAGATAAGAAAAGCATAAGAATAAAAAGAACAGAATTATGAAAAGAATTCATTAGTGAAGACTCCCTTTCTTTTCTTTGTTTATATAAGCTGCCTTTTTCAACCGACTGATGGTGAATTTGTCAATGCAATGGTCTTATTAATAAATTTATTTTCTGCCCATCTTGCAGTTCGCGGTATCTGACAAATACAGATCTAACATTGAATGAAAGTGCTAATTTGGATATTATATATATATATATGTGTGTCTATATGTTTCTGTTACTTAAAAGGCAGAAGATGCCAATGGAGCTGTGAGTAAGTATCTTGTAGGAAAACTGAAGATGAAGGAAAAGTGGCTTGGAATTTGGAAAACCAACCCAGAACTTTTTTTTGTCAATTCTGAAGAAATTCCCATACCTTTTATTGGGGTGCTTGTCGAGGTAATTATATATATTTTAATATTTTACAGCTTTCTAATACAGCTATCATCAAAAAAACTGTCAATAGCTTGCATAACTTCTGCCAACCAGACACAATGGTCTTTTTTTTAAATCCAATTCATAGATATTGACTGGATCAGACATAGTGAATTTTGATTATAGCACATTTTAAAAGTTTTTGTAGCTTAAATAATTAGTGTGTAGAATGGCTTACATGTTATTGAATACCAATACAACAGGTAGAGCTTTTCCAGGCATAAGATCTTCCACCTATAAGTTGGATATGTTCTCTGGGGCTTCACATCTGCTCTGCTACCTTTTTCTTCCCAGAAACCCAACTTGTCTTTGATGAGTAGTTGATTGGATATAAAGGGCTTTCTGGTTTCATATTGCAATATCCAAACCAATTTATTGATACTAATAAGAGGTTTTTATAAATAGCAAACTGTGATATGGGGATATTTAAAAAGGAATATCTCATCATCATCTTATGTTTCAGACTTCAGTCTTTCAAAAGGTTGCTCCTTATGCTTAGATTAGGAAAATCATTCCTGCTACCTTAAAGATTGATATATGCTGCGGTTACATGCTGAGTGGACAATATTTTTGGCAATATTGTATACATGTGAATGAAATTTGTTTGTGAAAGCAGCCACTGAAAAACTTTGAGCAATGATCTTGTGTACCACAGACATTGAATTGTCTTCAACCAGGATAAGGGGAGGTGGCCAGGGCAGATTCATATTTCTTTAGCAGTGATGTAAAATAATGAAAGAACTACTATATGCTTCAAATATATGACTGCCCTGAATTGGGTTTCTATATTATAAAAATCAAAAGATTTAGTAAGTATAGAAGTTTCAATGTCACTTATATTTTATAATTGTTTCATTTCTGTTTTACATTCTAGGTAACTTGTAAACTGCCCAGCAATCCTTCAGCTAATTTCAATGTTTCCATATCTATAGCTGAACCTTTTTCCTCTAACATTGCAAATATTCCAAAACAGTTAGTTGATGAAATATTAGAAGAAATGGACTATTGTGTGCCCCTGTTAGAAGTATATCCTATTGAGGGACAGGATAGTGTAGTGTTTGATATAGCCAAAGCTTTAGAAATTGTGAGGTATGAATTTTCAATATGTTTCTTATTATATTAGGATGGTGTTAAGTTGATGTTAATCTGTTTTATACTTAATATGTTGGTTTTAAAGCTAACATTTCATTAAGATTCAGATATTATGAACATTTATTTCATAACTCTTCAAGTTGGGAAAGAAATCAGTAACCACCACAGAGCATATAAAGTTGGCCCTAACATCTATTTTAAATTTTGGAGATTTATTAGCAATCAACAGTACTGCGATGGATAGATAAACAATAAAAAAGAATACTTTACTAGAATACAGTGCTCTTAATATTTTTAATGATTTAATTCTACTAAATGTTGATATTGCTTCTGTTGTGTATTATTGATGGCTACTGTGAACTAGTCACTTCCTTTTTGAACTGTAATGCATAAATTTAATAAATAAAATTATACACAGTATTCTAAATGAAATCTGAGCAGGGCAGAGTATAGTAGAATAATTTCTACTCATGATCTGGAGTCCATAATCCTAGTATTGTACCCAATTTGCTTATTTAGAAGCTACATTACACTGTGGTTCATGTTTAATTTGTGGTTTTATTAGGACACACAGCTCCCTTTCACGTGTACTGCTTCCCGACCTGGTTTCTCTTTTCCTATACCTATGCCTTACACTTTCATACCTAGATGCAGTTTCTCTCAATATCAGATCTAAAATGTAAATCACACCAAGAAATACTTCCAAGCTAAGATGTTTTTTTTTAAAGCTTGATTACAGTAATACAATTGTGCAAGTCTGCTTATGCTTTACCCATTCCCTTTCTGAAACTGATATAAATTGCTGTATGTGTATTCTCTGTCTACCTGCTTCATTGTTGCATTTAACCAATATTTCCTCTT